CTCTTTTTTTACTGATTTTTTACAGAGGAAGGGAGAGAGATAGAGAGTTAGAAACATCGATGAAGGAGAAACATCGATCAGCTGCCTCCTGCACATCTCCTACTGGGGATGTGCCCACAACCCAGGTACATGCCCTTGACCGGAATCAAACCTGGGACCTTCCAGTCCTCAGGCCGACTCTCTATCCACTGAGCCAAACCGGTTCCGGCTATGTCCTCACTGTTATACCCAGAACACAGTTTCCACAAACATGGAGTCTGCAGTATGCACACTGAAACAGAATTCCACAGTATCCCAATTCCTTACCTCTTAACTCAGACAGATACATACACAGAGAGGCATTACATGATGTGATAAGTATGTATGATAGTATTGGGATAAACAGGGACCTGCAGTGAGCACCAGGCCAGCAGCTCAGCCTGAGGATGTCAGGATTGCTTAATCCAGGAGGTGCATCTAAATGAGCTCCTAGATGGTGAATAGTGGTTTACCCAGCAGAGAAGGAGGGTGTGGCAGGATTTGAGGATGACCCCGGTGACCTTTGTTCTTTTATAATCTCCTCCCATTAAGTTCGGGTAGAACTTGTGACTAAAATGAGATATGACTCCCATGATTGCATTATTGGCAAAAGGGACTTTGCAGATATAATCAAAGTCCCTATCAGTTGCAATAATCAAAAGACTGTCTGGGTGGGCCTGATGGAATCACCTGAGCCTTTAAAGGGGATTGGGACTTTTCTGAAACCAGAGAGTTTAGAAGTGCCTGTGGAGGGGGCCATGTGTCAGGGACCTGAGAGAAGCTTCTAGGAGCTGCTAGACAACAGCCAGAAGGACCAAAGGAACCTGGATTCTCTGCTACAAGGAAGTTAATTCTACCAAAAACCATAAACTAAAAACCTACCAAGTTGCCCACATGAAAATAAATGGGTGTAAGCAAAATTACACGGAGTTTAACAGTGGTTTGATTCCTTCTGTGCGTGAATATACGTTCTGTGTTCACAGCATAGCCGTTTGGCTGATTCATGACACTATTTTAAGGTAAAGTGGATAAAGAATACATAAAGTGGAACTCCATCACTCATCTTATCTAATCCCCTGCCTGTAGACAGAGAATGTTATTATCTCCATGAAGTAATAGAGGTGGAGGAGGCCAGCTCACCTGCCACCAGGCAATCAGCAGAGGGCAGAGCGCTCCATTCTTCGGCTCCCCGATTCTTCTGTTATTCCTTTGAGAACAGGCCGGGCGAACGGTCGCACTGGGCAAGGTAGGAGGCATGGGAGCTACAAGGACAGGGTCAGGGGAGAAAATCTCGGGATGGAATTCCCCAGATACGTGGGCGACGAAGTATTTCATTCTGAGTCTTTGTCATATTGAACATCGAGTCTATTGTATAATTTTGTCCAATTGGAAAACATCTCACTTCTTAACATGGAATAGCTAGCTAGCTTTGGTTCAATCTCTAATAGTTATACAAAACAGACTCCGATTCAGACTTAAAGAACTATGTTCAGTGTTGTTGTTGTTGTTTTCATTAACCCAGAGTTGAGATTTAATTGGGCCTCCGGCCCTAGCAACACTTGTGTGCCTGCTGGCATAGTCCCTAGAAACCCAGATGTTGCACATTAATATCATGATAACCATTACTGTCGTGGCTTCCTGTAGCATTTTTTGTTCTTGTAGATGATCTTTAAAAACAAACAAGAAAAAAGCTTCATTCTTTTAGGTCCTTATGTAGATGAAACATTTGCTTTTGCACTTGGCTGTGGTCAGAAACACAGTGGTTGGAACAGAGCAGAGCTGCCCATCTTCTGGGCTCCTCCCAGACCCCCTTTGAAGTCCCCGGGAATATGGTGCAGAGCAGGGACATGCCACATGGAGGGGACTGATCAGGATCACCCTCCTGAAACTAGGGTGAAAATACGTTCACTTCTGCAAATAATACCTCTTGGGTTTCCACTTATATTCAAACCTTTTGAGGATCCTGGGGAAATACCACAGGAGCAGTACTTCTGTTCCCTGTGAGCCGAGGATTTGTTGCGCTGGAAAAAGAATCCATCCTGTAGGGGTGTCGACGGCAGCTGGCGGGGTACCAGGAAGGGGGAAGGATTACAGACTGGGCCCTGGCCCCAGTTGGATGCGATTTCAACGGCGTATGGTGGTATTTTTCCTTTATGTTGAGCTGCCTTTCGGTTTTCTTCTCTGTTGGGATGTGAGAGGGCTCACTCGGCCCAGGCCTGTGCCGTCCATGTGTCTGAGAAGGACCCCATGGCTGTCCACTCTAGACGTGCGTCATTTTCCCAAGGCCCCCAGGGGCCCATCGGCATTGGTGGTTTTCCCAGGTGGTGCTGGGAAATGTGTGTGCAGAACTCTAGAAACTTAGGAAGGCTTCTCTTTGGTGGCTCATGCTATTCCTGGGGATGACTAGGGGATTTATAAAAGCAATCAACGCTTTGGACCAGATTCCAATATGAGGCAACACAACCAGCTACAATCCAGCCTAACCCTAACAGAATGTTACCTCATCATCCACTTGGGAATTTGCTGTTTACATGTGTCGGCTTCATCATGTTTGAACCCCATCACATCGGCCACACACAGGAAAAGCTTCCTGAAAACACAGTTTGCAGGAAGGGCACTGCTGGATGCCAGCTCTGCCGTGGAGCCCGAGCGCCCTGACGGCGATTACCACATCGTTCCCCAGGGCTGACCTTAGCTCTGGGAGAGGTTCTGCCAAGATCCCACAGAGCTCCCATCCCGCAGGCTTCTCGCTAAGATTCTGCAAAGTCATGCCTCTGGCCCAGCTATAGAAAGAACCACACCCGCTATCAGGGGATCTTTTTATCATAACCCGGGCTTACTCTAGCTGTGGCCCCGGGTGACTAGGATGGCTGGTAGATTACTTCCTACATCTCATAGGACCTGGGGGATTGGGTGAGGGATATCTGATACCATTTTTGAGATGTTGCCAATTGTGTGCTGTGCTGCAACTCTCCATGGTCACCTTAAAATCCAGACATCAAATAGCTTTTTAATGGTGGTGTTTTGAGAAACTAAAGATAGGAGGCCTGTAGGAAGGGGGGCACGGGGGGGGGGGAGAGAGGGAGAGAGAGAGAGAGAGAGAGAAATAGCTGGAGATGATGAGACATAGAGAAGAGATGGAGAATTCAGTGGAAGCAAGAAATGAAAGGAAAGCAACCACGAGAAAGATAAACCCTCAAATACTTGTCAAGTGTACTGAGCAGGGTACCAGAATCCCCAGTAGGAAGCTCATTTTCTTCAGTAACTGGAAAACCCTAGAACCTTAGAAGATGAAATCAGGCAGGCAACAGATGCGTAGAATTTGTCCTTTCTATTGTTCAAATCTTTCGCCTCTCAAGGCCCCAATTCAAATGTCATTTCCTCCAGAAACTCACCTCCACCCGTGGGTCAGCATGAAAGGGGTTTCTCTGAGGTTGTTCTGCAAAGTTCCATGGACTGGAGCCTTATTCCTTGGGGGTCGGGGGTGGGGTGGGCAGGGACCTTGTAGGTAGCCCTACACAATCAATAGGTCACCCAGTTTTGCATCATCCTAAAGTAAAGGCGTAATTGCATGAAAAGGGCTTTTCACGAAGGACAGGTTGGTTTAGAGCAGCGGTTCTCAACCTGTGGGTCGCGACCCCTTTGGGGGTCGAATGACCTTTTCACAGGGGTCACCTAAGACCATCGGAAAACACATATAATTGCATATTGTTTTTGTGATGAATCACTATGCTTTCATTATGTTCAATTTGTAACAATGAAATTGGGGGTCACCACAACATGAGAAACTGTATTAAAGGGTGGCGGCATTAGGAAGGTTGAGAACCACTGGTTTAGAGTGTCATCATGGCCTTGAAGGGAGCGTGGATTCATTTTATTATTTCCCCTGAAGGGAAACTTGAACTCTTCCTGTGCCGGAGGGGGGCGCTTCCCCCCCATCCCAGGGTGTTCCTAGCCCACAGTCAGGTCTGAAAGATGACCCTGCATTCCACAGATGTCAGATTATAAATATAAAGCTGCCCTTTTTTGTTTTTTTCCTTTCAGGAAAGAACTCCCCATTTCACCTTCCTGAGCAGTGGAACCCGTGGCTCAGAAACAGCGACTGCCCATGAAACGTCAGCTCGCAAATACATTCCACGGCTTATTTGCGGAGGGAAATATCCTCTACCTCTTGACCTTTCAGATAGCTAGTGAAAGCAAACAGGTAAGCCTTTCCTGGTTCTCCTTTTAAGTAAACAGGACGAAAATGCCCCGCCCTGGCTTGGCTGGTAACCAAACGCAGGGGTCTCAGGGCCATTCCTGAAGGATCACGGCTCAGATGACGGGGACAGGTCCTGGCATGGTCATGGCAAAGGTGACACTTCCTGGTGTCTTCCTAGAAACCGCAGCAGCCAGGGTTGCTGGAAGGGCGTGGCCAGGAGAACCCTAATCCGTTCAGGTTTGTGTGTACCGTAACCTTGCACCTTTTTGCCTGTAAATCAGCACCGTTTGAAAGTTTACCACATCCTTTTTCTGTCCGGGCCTGTGAAACAGCTTCCTTTAATCCAGCAGATAGATGCCTGTGGTTTCAGAGCCCTGGGATGTTCCATTCCACGAGCCACATGCGTGTGGTTAGTTAATGACCTGGTTGTCTACTGAGGTTTGTGACCAGGGATTGTTGCGAAGCTCTCTACCTGACTTCTTTCTCCTGCTGGAGAAGATGAGACCATTCTTACCATATTAGTCATGCTGGGCCTTTTCTTCCTTTTTCTTTTCTTTATTTTTCTTTTTTTTAATATTACGCAGGAAACGTTCCTCTCCAAGAGCACATAATTTGGCCAATAGCAGCTTCCTAGGTTCAGAGCCACCTCACCACCTCCCGTGAGTTCTCCAAGATAAAGTTTGTAATAGCACAGTTTGAGCGGTGGGAATGTCACCACGTTGCACAAACCCAAGGCATGCCTTGGCATCCAGTCACTCTGCAAATATTTACTGAGCAGAGTTCATTGGGGTCACTGGGATGGACTGGATGGTTGTGATTCCTCATGCCTAGAATTTACCATGACCCACATAGTCACACAAGCACTATTTTGTTCTTAAACGGGCATTTGAGTATTGAGTTCTGAACACAGCAGACCAGGTAGTACCACTATTCTTGAATTAAAGGGTCGACGATGGCAGTAGCCATGGATTTGGACACACAGCCCAGGTGGCTGCTGTATGAGGCTGAAATTCACCCCTTTGGCACTAGAACATCTTGATGCAGAAGCCAGGCTCCCAGTGCTAACGGGTTCACAAACAAGACCAAGTTCAGACCTCCGAAAGGAGATTTTGTCATTTGGAACCTATCTATGGCCTGTCAGATAGGCAATCCAAATCTGAGGCTGTACACATCATTCAAAAGAGCCAGTTGAAAAGCAGAGGGTAGAGGAGAGAGTTGCCGTAGCCTACACAAAGCCATCAGTTTGGCATTGGTGTGTCCTCTGTGATGATCAGCCTGATGTGTCAACTTAGCTATGCGATAGCAGCCAGTCACTCAATCAAACGCTCAACTACACGTCGGTGCGAGGGTATTTTGTGATGTGATGTATGTCTACAGTCGTTGGCTTTGTGTAACAGAGATTCCCAGATGTTCTGAGTAGCTCTGCTCCAAGCCATTGAAAGGCCTTGAGGACAGAACTGAGGTTTTCCTCTGGAAGAAGGCAGTCCACCTGTGGTTTGGAGCAGGGGGGCACCAACAGGTGATCCGTGGACCACTGGAGGTCCGAAAGGTTGGAGACCGATAGTCTGGAGGATCACTTCTGCATGAGAGTTTCTGCACTGACCTCCTTGCTGGTCTGCTGCACAGATTAGGACCTGCCTAGGCAGCCCACAATTGCAAATGCCAGTTGCTTAAAAATCTCTCTCTCTCTCTCTCTTTTTCCATATACATGCAGGGCATCCCTCCAAAAATGTAGGGTGCCTTGACTTACGAGTTTAATTCATTCTGTGACGGAGCTCGTAACTCAAATTACTCATATGTCAAATCTTAAAGTGAACGAGTGAGACACGTGATGCTGGGCTGATGTTTTGGCGTTCACTGTGACGTTCGCTGCGCCAACTAGCGGTGGGGTATCTGAAGCTGGGTCGTAACCCGAATTTTAGCTCGCAACTCAAAGCGAAAAATCAGCCGAGAGACGGCTCGGATCTCGAAAAACTTGTTAGTTGGGACACTCGTAAGTCAAGGCCCCACTGTACTCACTTTGAATGATTAAAAAGTCAGTATTTATTAATGTACAGTTCATTTTGAAAATTAAGTGAATTATTAGTTGTTAAAGCGTGTATGCACTTTTTGGGGACACCCTGTGTACTTGATATAATATGTTACATATAATTACTTGTGTATGATGAATACATTGTTATATATAATTTATGTTATTAATATATTGCTATGTATAAATATATCTCCTACTGCTTCTGTTGCCCTCAGGGATACTGATACATCCTCTCATCATTAGCCTAGAGGTAGTATACCACCAGCTTGATGATTTTTTTTTTCACTGAATCAAATACCAATGCCCAAAGGTAGTGTGTAAGGTTAGCAATGACCCTCACGGCATGTCTACACCAGAACTATACAAAATTTTCCATCTGATCTCAACACAAAAGCCAGAGGTGGCCTGCTAAACTATAAGATCACGTCACTTCACCGTTTAATACCCTACTGATTCCTCCCACACTCAGTCAATGCCAGGGTCTCCATGTCAGCCTGCAGACCTGCGAGATCCAAACCCTGCTTTTTTGGGCCACGTCACCCTCTTGCTTCTGTGCTCCAGCCACACTAGGCCTTTCTGTTCCTCATAGAAGCCAGTCACACTCTTTATTCGGGGCCAAGGCTTTATTTCCTGTTACTTGATTTTCCTTTCTTTATAGCACTTACTAGAAACCCATTGCATAGAGATTTGCACAATAGGCCTCCCTTCCCCTGGCTGCTGGTACCAGTTTTCCTCCGGCACCCAGGACCCAGGCCTTTGGTCCGGCTGCAGTGGAGAAGCCAAGCCTCTTCAGTCTTGAGTCTTGAGTCTTCAGTCTTCACTCTGGCCGGAGCCTTCAGTCTTTGCTCTACGCCTGTGTATACAAATTAACCGCCATCTTTGTTGGGTTAATTTGCATAGTCGCTCTGATTGGCTGGTTGGCATAGCGGAGTGACACCAATTTGCATGTTTCTCTTTTATTAGTGTAGATAACCATTTAACATAGTCCATATTCACTGCTATGCTCAAAATCGATCTCCTTTAGAATGTAAAGCTCCATAAAAGCAGGGACTTCTACTTTGTTCTCTGCTGTGTATCCCCAGTACACCCACAGATTAGGTAAACTGTTGATATCTGTTAAATGAATGGATGGATGGGTGAGCTTCATTCAGTGGTAGAGTGAGCCAAATATGGGAGGGGGTGTTATTTAGGTAAAACGATTGTGCTGAATTTTAATTGTCTGCCAGGTGTTTTTCTCCACATAGTTACTGTTTCAAAGGGCATTGACTTGTGATTGAAACGTTTTCAGTTAGTTCCCACCTTGAGCTATAGACACCCTATTGGAGAATGATCTGAATTTTCCAAAGCAGCTTGATACTTTCCAATGATCAGAGTTCCCACACGGCATATTCTTTTAAAAAAATAGATTTTTATTGATATCAAAGAGGAAGGGAGAGGGAGAGAGAGATAGAAACATCAATGATGAGGGAGAATCATTGATCAGCTGCCTCCTGCACACCCCCTACTGGGGATCAAGCTGCAACCCAGGCATGTGCCCTTGACTGGAATTGAACCCAGGACACTTTGTGGATGCTCTATCCACTGAGCCAAACCAGCTAGGGCCCACATGGCATACTCTTGAAGAAAGGGTACTGTTTCATCTCATGTCCATGTACATAATTTTACACTGAACATTGCCATCCAAAAGGATCTCAGCATTCCACCATTATTTATTAGTTCCTACACTTACTGCCTTTTTTCAAAGCTCAAAAAAAAAAACCAACAAAAAAACAGGTGAAACTTAAAACAGTTTAATTAAACGTCAGATGGGTGGTTCTGATCAAGGTGGCACAGCGCCAGGGCATTCCGAGATTCTCAAATAGCATAATCTAATTAATTTTTTTCTAGAACACAGAGGTCATAAACACGCGGTAATCTGAAACACTCGCTGCCCTGCCAGCTGGCATCTCCTGGCTTCCAGCTTCCTTGCACTGTAATTTTGCTCCCCGTTGTGAGAAAGCCTGGATTTCTCCATTTTGGTGGATTGTATTAAGTTGCATGCTATTCAGTTGAGGTATTTTTTTTAATGAACTGATTACACGTTGGTTAATAATAGAACATTGCCTCAACGGTCAACTGTCGAATATCACTTGTAAAGAAATTACTTCAGTCTTGCAGTAGGAGGGCTTGGGAATAGGACTGACCTGTGAAAACAATATGATTCCCCAGCACTGAGTTTATTGAATTATAAATAAATGCCTCTGGATTGGAGATCAGGGTTATTTAGAGGAACAACATCCATAAGAACAGTGCCTACAAAACACAAATTTAAATTTTTCCTACCAAAATAATGTTTTCTATTGCTACTGTTCCTGCTTAATTTTATGCAGTGGGTAATAATGAAAAGGTCATGGCTGGTACTGGGTAGGCTCATTGCTTTGAAAGAGGTAGAGCTGGTTCCTTCTACAACAGTGGCTCTCAACCTTCCTAATGCCACAACCCTTTAATACAGTTCCTCATGTTGTGGTGACCCCCAACCATAAAATTATTTTCGTTGCTACTTCATAACTGTAATTTTACTACTGTTATGAATTGTCATGTAAATATCTGACATGCAGGATGTATTTTCCTTGTTACAAATTGAACATAATGAAAGCATAGTGATTAATCACAAAAACAATATGTAATTATATATGTGTTTTCCGATGGTCTTAGGCGACCCCTGTGAAAGGGTCGTTTGACCCCGCAAAGGGGTTGCAACCCACAGGTTGAGAACCGCTGTTCTACACCGTTCAGCTCAAGTTAGCTCCTAATTCTTCCACTTCTCATCTTGGGTCTGATGGATCATCATTCCTCACTGTGCACACACCAGTGGCGGTCTTGCAGACAATAGTGAGCTTCCCTTTAAGGCAGCATTGTCTTTCCAGATGTGCTGCCTCTGGACCTGTTTGTCCTTAGCACTATTCCTCATCCTCACCTGCTCTGCTT